TCCTTTCAGAGTTCTCTACTTCCTTTGTTGAAGTGGTAATTTGTAGGAGAGTGTGCTCCTATGTGCATGAGAAATCTATGTTGTCATTTATTTTATAATACTATTTCATTAAATATTCTGTGTGAAGTTTTCTGGTTTGTCTGGTAAACAGAAATGCAATAGCTCGTGAGCTATGGATCTGAGTGGATGCTGACCCATAAAGTGACTCAAACTGGGAGCTGCTTTACTGGGGTCCACATGGAAGAATAAGACTTGGGGATTATATGAAGGGAAAGAATACTTCTTTATTTCTTAGAAAAGCTGTTGAAAATTACATCAAATCCTTTCATGACAACACACAAAACAAGATTTGAAGTTGCATTCATTTCACATGCTCTCTACTCTGATTATAAATAATTGCATTATTTTGCACAATTTAGTCCCAAATGAAATTCTTTCTACATTTGCTTTGTTTATGACATGCTGACAGGTTCCCTCTAACTAGTGGATGTTTTTATTCTTTTTCATTAAAGATGTGAGAAGCACATGTGGAGAGCAATTCCAAGTGAGGTAGGGACATGGTTACTTTTACTCTAGGCCCTGAAGCCTCTTCCCTAAATAAGGTAACATCAAAAGCCAAAATATTGAATATCCTCTCTCTATTGGAAGAACAAGGTCAAGAAAAAGTTGCAGTTTCAGAATCTCTAAAGTCAGTACATTCCTAAGGAACATAAAATTATTTGTGGAAAAATCTCAAGGAATAAGCTCAATATTATAAGCTGCATATGACAGAAAATCAAGTTGAGGTTAGAAGGGAAGATCAAATGATGCATCAACAGCATTTTTATCCATGCTAACTCCAGCCCTGTTACTGCTAATCTCTATATTCAATAGTTCTATGAGGCTTATTCCATGGGTGCTCCATACATCTAGTGGAAGTGAATTGGTTAGCTTCAATCTCTCCCAACATTGAGTTGGAAGTTTTCCTTTTCATTTTTTTGAGATTACTGAGGACAGGAGCATTAATATCAAATTTCAATTCACCCTTTAACCTGCCTCCAAAGCATGAGCTTTCCCACTCACCACAAGGAATAGAAAAGGGACCATAATTATTGAAGACCAATGGGATAAGCTTAAGACACATTCACTATTCAAAACAACACTTATAAGAGTCAATATCAAGCAATCAATCAATGAATAAATGTTCATTAAGCACCTACTATGTGCCAGGTACTGTGCAATGTCTGCAGATAAACAATGAGGTAAAAGACATTCCCTGCCATCAAGATGCTTACAGTCTAATGGAGTAAAGGACTGAAAGAACAATGCAGAGAAAACATGCTTGCCCTGCAGTTAAGAGAGGCATAGGTTTGAATCCAACCTTCAGTGCTTATCAGATGTAAAATCTGGATAAGTTATTTATTTCCTGAGGTATATAATGGGCATAACAATAGCACCTACTTATAGAACTGATGTAAGAAATAAATAAGATATGTATGATTATATTTTGTAAACCGTAAAACACTAAGTAAATGTCAGATGTTATTAACTGTTGAAACAAATTTTGCATTTCCTTCTGGCATGAAACATCTATATTAGTATCTATAAATCATGAAGGACTCCACCTTAATTCCTTCTGCTGGATTTGGTACAAATTGGAAGTGAGACCTGGGAAGCATCATCATGGCTTCCATCTCCCTGGAACCAGTCATTTCTCACAGAGAAGCATGGGATAGAATTTTATTTTATTCAGAGAATGAAAGCAGAGGGAAAAATGAAATCAGAACTAAAGATAGATATGTCCTAGTGTTAGTCACTTCTTGAGGTATTGAAAAATATCAGAGATAGGATATGATCAAATCAGAATCTATCCCATATGACAATATCATTTTGAATTAGAATCTCAATACCAACATTTTGGAGAGTAATAGAACTTGCAGAAGTTAGATGAGGGTCTTCCCCTCCTAGCTCCACTGTTTGTCACTTTGGTAGCTTAGGGACATCATGACAACTGCAGTAAGAAAGATGTGAAAATAGATGGGCACTGAGGCTTCAAAAGATATTGATCCACCATTAATTGGTGTTCCCTAGTCCATAAAAACTTTCCAAGTCAGTTGGACAGAGCTCTGAGGCAGCAGCTAGATTAAGATTGTTATAGCCTATCAAATCACCGAAACAAAAATTCCCCTCTATAATGTCTCCAACAACTGGTTGACTGGCCTCCTTTTGAACAGCTCCAGGCATGGAGATGCAATGGGAAATGCAAGCTCTTGTTATTTTAAGTTATAATTATAACAGTGAGTTCATAATTTCCAAAATTTTCTTATCTCTTCTAGAATCTTGTAAGAAACATTCTCTAGCCATTTGTTTCTATATGTTTGACAATCTCCTAATTATCCAGGGATGGACAAGAACACCCAGATCTATAGTAGACATTTTGGAAGCAAATGTTTCTCTCTCTTTTTTTTTTTTTTGGTAGAAAGATTTGCCACTTACTCTACTTGCTTCCTTACCTAGACATCTTCATGAAATCCCCACAGCACCTTCATGACCACAGCTTCTATTGGGATTATCTGCAGGAACAATGTTATCTCATTATACAGTCTGAACAGAAGACCCATACATTACGCACCAAAGATCAGTAAATGTGTTTACAAGGAAGAACAGCAGCTAAGGAATGCTGCCAACTAATGTTGACCTATACCTCAGCTATCTCAGTTCATCCCTTTTCACTATGCACTCTAGAACTCTTCTCTATTATTAATAAATTCCCTTTCAAGCTTATGCTTTCTTGTTATATTTCTTCTATTTTCTAGTGCTCACTGAAGCATAGTATTCTCCTGAAGACACTTCTTTGAGTACACTTTTCAAAGATTTGAGTTCCTTCTCACATACTTTCTCACACCTAGGATCAGGAGGAGAAGCTAATATAGTCTTTGCTTGGCCCTGCCACCTCCAGACTTTCATTCTATCCCTAGCACTCAGCAACTATCATATTGAGATGTTTGTTGGTGTCAACTATGGACTCTGGTTGACTTTATCCCTTCTCCAATAAGTCTAGTGCCTCACTTTCGCATTTCTTTTCACACTTCTCATCCCTCCCTTGAATACTCAGGCCTTTCAGCTACCCAACTTCCTCAATTACCATGACCTCTGAATTTGACCTACATCAGTCATAAAAAATATTGCTTATTACTTAAACACTGACCAAGATTCCCAACTTGTAACTCAAATAAACTAGTTCCAGATGCCAGAATTCCTAGTAAAAGCACTGGGATAATGACCTGAAAAGATAATTGTGTATGTGGAGAGAAAATTAAAAAGAAAGAATTGAGGAAACAAGGAAAATATAAATAAGGTCTTCCCAGAAAGAGGGGAATCCCTTATGAGATAAATCCCTCTGGGAACCTCTGTCTGTGTATTACTAATGGTTCCAGGAAGCCCTCCAGTTACCATAAAACCTTCTAGTTACATCATCAGAAGTTCTGTTGACACTGATAAACATTGTCTTTCCCCATGGCTGAAGAGGATACTCTGGATAAAATCACAATTAGGAAAAAATCATCTTCAGATCTAATCAACTGCCAGAGCATTTCAGAGACTAAGTTATGCACCCTAATTCCCATCAACATTGAAAAGGAATAGAAGGCTCTATGACAGAACCATAACAACCTTCATTAAAGCACTCTCTGGGAGAAGAGGTTCTAAGATCCTGTACAGGAGAGTGAGTATTTTATTAATTTGACATTATTCTACCTTCTAAATAAAGATTCATGGAACCCAAGGACTTTGCAAAACAAAGACCATCTCCACATTCCATTCTACTTATCTCTGATAATGGGATGAGACAAAAGACTAGGAACAGTTTGTCAAAAAATATAGAAAGAGACTTTGGAGGTTTGAATGACTACAGATCAGAATTATAGAACTGCAGAATTTTAGAGTTAGAGGGGACCTTCCATCTAATCCAAACAACCTCCCCCCAGCACCCACTATAGCTGTGGTGGCATCCAGCCTCTACTCGAAGATGCGGGAGCTCACACCTGCCCAGGCATCCCAGGTCACTTTAGGTTTTGTACAATTGTTATGGATTTCATCCTCACATGAAGCTTAAATTTACCTCTTTGCAATTTTCATTCATTGCTTTGGGGCAAAAACTGAACAAGCTGAATTCCTTTTTCATGTGACAGCTCTTAAAAATACTAAATTATCATGTCTCCTTGATTCATTCCTTCTACAGGCTAAATTTTCACAAGTCCTTCAAATTATCCTCATGTGGCATGTACTCAGGATCATTCATGACCTCATTGCTCTTTTATGGATGTTCTCCACTTGGTCAATGTCCTTCCTCAATTATGTGAGAAAGAACTGGCCAAAATACCAGGGAGGTAGTTTAAATAACTATCACCTCCTTATTCTTAGAATCTATGCCTCTCTTCTTGTAGCCTAAGATTACATTAGTTCATTGACCATCACATTATATTGCTGACTCCTATTGAGTTTGCAGCCTACTAATAACTCCTGATCTTGGACAGACTTTAAACATTCCTCCATATTTTTGTGGTTTTGAAACTGATTCTTTGAAGTGCTATGAAGGATTTTACATTTATCCTTATGAAATTTCATCATATTCGATTCAGTCCATTGTCCTAAACAATCATGATATTTTTGGATCATGTTTTGGTTAAACTGTAAGTTAATGATCTCTGCCAGCTCTGTCTAGTTCAAATTTGATGTACATACTATCTATAGTTTTTTTTTTTTATCTGAGGTATCAATCAAGGTGAGTCACACATTTTGATATTGCTAACAAGTAGCAATCAACAAATACTTTGACAAAATTTAGGTACATTGTATCTACAACTTTTCCCTGTACTAGTTGTAGAAAAATAGAGGCAGAAAAGGGTAACAAAAATTGACATTATAATTTCACTTTTTAGTCTATGCTCTCACTTGAGACTTGTAATAACAAGGACTTCTTTTTTTCCCCTCATATCTACAGATTCTTGCCTCCTCTTACTCTACACTCAAAAAGAATGGCTACAGGTAATAATTCCCTAGTGACTGAGTTCATGCTCATGGGACTGACGGACCAGCCAGAGCTACAGCTGCCCTTCTTCCTCCTGTTCCTGGGCATCTATGTGGTCACTGTGGTTGGGAACCTGGGCATGATCATATTGGTTACACTCAGTTCTCATCTTCATAGCCCCATGTACTATTTCCTCTGTAGTTTGTCTTTCATAGATCTCTGTGAATCAACTATCATCACCCCCAAAATGTTGGTGAACTTTGTGTCACAGAAGAACACTATCTCCTACCCTGAGTGCATGACTCAGTTCTATTTTTTTGCCTCTTTGGTAATCTCTGAATGTCAAATGCTGGCTGTGATGGCATATGACCGCTACATTGCTGTATGTCATCCCCTTCTTTATGGCCTCATGATGTCCCCTCAGGTATGCTCCTGGTTGGTGGGTGGGGTGTATGCATTGGGCCTGGTTGGGGCCACAGCTCACACAGTCTGCTTGCTTAGAGTGTTCTTCTGCAAGGAATATGCTATTAATCATTATTTCTGTGATCTCTTTCCACTCTTGAAGCTCTCTTGTTCTAACACCTATGTCAACGAAGTGGTAGTTCTGTCATTTGGTGCATTTAATATCTTTTTCCCAAGCCTGATCATTATTTGCTCTTATGTTTGGATCATTGCCAACATCATACAACTTCACTCTGCTGAAGGCAGATCAAAAGCCTTCAGCACCTGCAGCTCCCATATTGTAGCGGTTGGTGTCTTCTTTGGCTCTGGTGCATTCGTGTATCTGCAGCCATCTTCATACAGCTCCATGGATCAGGGGAAAGTGTCCTCTGTCTTTTATACTACCATAGTGCCCATGCTAAACCCCCTCATCTACAGTGTGAGAAATAAAGATGTCAAAATTGCCTTGAACAAAATGATAGAAAGAAAAACATTCTAATGAAAAGAGAAATGTTGTAATGATGAGCTTAGTAGATGCTGGATGATGTGCAGAGAGTGAGAGAGAGAAACTTGGCTTTGTACCAACCATGTACTCAACCTCCACACCTGTAATTACTGGGAAGCCCAATTAAGAACTGCTTTGGATGTATTTCTGACACCAGGCTAGGTGAAATTTCTCTTCCTATGTTTATCCTACTGTTTAATATCTCTCTAGTATGCATTCTAGATTAACAGAGTACCTATACAATTCAATCATGGATTACCCTGCTAATGATATATAAAAAGATGTCTTTACTAGTTTAAAAATCTGTGTGAAAATTAGTTTTTCTGCATGTCCTTCTTTAGGGCAATCACTATTCAAACTAGTAATTAAATCCTCAAATTTTAACAAGATAAATAATACAAAGTATTTTGAGTAAGAAGATTTAAAATTTTACAAGTCTAACCTACTTTTTTTTCAGTTCAAGAAAATACATCTTAAAAAGGATAAATGACCTGCCCCAAATCACAGAAAACATCAATAGCAAAACCAGGTTTTTGAGCTAAGTTCCTTGGATTTGTATGGCAGTTTACCTGAGGTTTAGGTTAAAGGAGAGCAATGCTCTTCCTATGATACCATAAATAATAACAACAAGCACTGTCTATAGGTTGAATGTTAATGAAAGCATGCTGATGGGAAACCTGTGATCGTTAATGTTAGGATTACAGAAATCCAGAAATACAAATGGGAATCAAGGTAGCAGCAGCACTCTAAGGACTAAAGCCATTACATGAGCATAAACTGAATGGAAAACAGCTACCAATGTATTGAATAACTGAAAACATTTCTAAATAAATATTGTTGGACAAAAGGACTTGATCTAATACCTGATGAAGCAAAAATTGTCTGGATTCCCAAGAAAGTATGAAACTATTTCCAGTTATTCCCAAATAGCCCACTAGAGAAATCACGATATTGACAGAAAGAGGAAAAGGGAAACAGATCGCAAAATTTATGCCCTGTACAGCAGAAATAATTCACAGCACAGAAAAACTTGAATTCACACTATTGTATCTTCCAAAAGAAAAAGAGAAAATTGATTGGGGAGACAAATATAAGTGAAATGAAGGACAATCTGGAGAATTAAAACTCTAAGTAAAAACATCTTGAAGATGCCAAAAGCAAAAAGGTAAGAAAGAAGTATGTGATCTCTATACAAGCAAAACGCAGATTCCCAAGACAGAATGCATAGAGACAACATAATGTTCATAGCCATTCTAGAATAATATAACAAATCAAAACCCTGAACACCATAATGCAAGAAATGATACAAGAATACAACTCATAATCTATGTATACAGGAAACAAAACATGAAACAAAAGAATCCACAGGTCACCTCCTGAAAAAGAAAAAAAAACCCTTTACTGCAAACTCTAAGACACATAGTATTTAAATTTAATAATTCCATTAATATTTAACAAATTCTGTAATCACCTCTGAGAAAGATTATGTTTTAATGAAATCCATTGATTTATCTGCTTTTAATCTTGGTTCTTAAAAGTTTTCTTCCTGTTAACTTTGGTGGTTTTAGCCCTTTTTTCCTTATCTTGCCTAATCACTTACTGTCATACTCCTTCCATTTTGATGTGGATCCCTGTTCCTGTGCATGAAAGGCATCTCTGCCACCTCTCACATTGCAAAATTCATTGTTCGACGGTTTTGATTCCCACCCCAAGTGACTGCTGCGGGGAACAGAACTGGCTCCAGCTAGTTGCTTTTCTGGACTGGTGAGGCCCTATTTTTATCATAGCACCCTGTTCCTATTCCCTCTATTCTTTAGTTCTCTAGCCAAATGCTGCTTCCCTAAGGAAAACATTCCCACCTATATCCAATCTGCTGTTAAGACATCTGTTGTCTCTCAACATCTCTCAAATAAGCCCACAGTCTCCTCTGACACTGCCACTACTCTAGTGGTCTAATAAAGGCCCTCATCACCTCACACTCAGATTATTGCAGTAGCCTGCTGGTGGATCTGCCTCCATTGTTTCTCCTCACCCTAATCTAGCCTCCATTCATCCACTACCCTGACTTTCCAAAAATGCAGGTCCAATTATGGCAATCACTGACTCAGTAAATTTCAATGGGTCCCTATTGGCTCTACAATCAAGTACAAAATTATCTGTTTGGCATTCAAAATCCTTCATAACCTTCTACCTTTCTAATCTTCTTATGCCTTACTCCCCAACACGTATACCTCTATCCAATGACACTGGCCTCTTGGCTATTCCTCAAATAAGACATTCCATCTCTCAGCTCTAGGCACTTTATCTGGCTGTTCCCCATACCTGGAATATTCTCCCACCTTTCTTACTACTACTGACCTCTCTAAATTCTTTTAAGTCCCAACTAAAATCTCAACTTCCAAAGGAAGCCTTCTTTTAATTCAGGGCTTTCCTTCTATTAATTATTTCTTATTTATCCTGTACAAAGCTTGTTTTATGTGTGTGTGTGTGTGTGTGTGTGTGTGTGTGTGCGCACACATGTGTGTGTATATGTAAGTATGTATATTTTAATTGTTGTCTCTCTCATTAGATTTTAAGTTCCTGGAGGACAAGGACTGTCTTTTGCCTTCTTTTTTATCTCCAGCCTTTAGTACAATATCTGGCACAATGTAGGCACTTAATACATGTTGATTGATTGATTGATTGAATGATTGATCTCAGAACACAAGTTGGTGAGTTAGGTATGTCTCCTGCTAGAGCAGGGGGAGGGAGGGGTTGTGGGAGAAAGAAAGGCTGGGATGAATGTTATCTGCTCTTAACTTATAAAACTGTTATTTTTCAGGCTTCTTAGTGAATTGACCTACAGAGACAGCTATGATCACCATACTTTTGGTACATTATCCCTCTTTTCCAGAGATTTTAAGATTTAACAAGGTCTGGAAAAAATGTCTACTCCTCCATCTTATTGAGCTTACACCATGTTGCAATACATCAGGTTTTAAGCTTGAAAATAATGGAGCATTTTCCTTCTTAAAAAAAAATCTTTGCTATAAGGGCTAGTTCTATGGAAGCGGATAAGGATAGGATAAGACAAAATCTAGGTGATATTAAAAACAAAAGATATCAACAAAAAAGTTTTTTAAAGAAAAATATAAAATAGCAAGAAATATATACATGCCAACACTTGATACCTTGGCAGTAACTATAGTTATTGAAGAGAGGCCCACCTTACAGCTGCCTTGGGGACAACTCTGTCTAGAATTAAGGAGTAGTAGACTACCTCTGCAACTCAACCTTGGATTTAACTTCTACTGTTTTTGCTAATATAAAAAATCTACATAGCAATGCAGTTTGCCTTGATGCCCCACTGAAGAGAGACGATTGCTGAGACCAACAGATAGATTGGCCCCCAACAATTGAGTTGTTTGCATCAGATATCCAGCTTCACCAAGCAAATTGTACAGAACATATTCATCATACAATGAAGCTAAAAATACGTAACTCCATTCTGCTTGTTTTGCAGTTGAGGAAACTATAGCCCAAAAAGGAGATATTACTTGCCCAAAATCACAAAAAAATTTATTAAAGAAACATGCAAACCTCATAATTAAAACATTAAATTTGAGGCAATGTGTCAAAAATATTTTAAGGAGTTGTCCTACAGCCTCACAACCACATGTGACAAAGTTCCTTAATGCTTTTGAGATGAATTCTTACAGTGAGGGAGGAGCATGTGGATCCTGGCTTTGTGAGTTTCTAGTATGTGTAGACAGTGTTTTTCTTCCCAATCTGGTAGGGAAGATCATTCAACACTTTCCAGCTGACTGCTCTTTTGTACTTCACAATCTCAAAAATTCATCAGGAAAATGGAACCAACCCTGTAATTCACAAGCATTTAAATCATTCTTACTCTGGCTACTGAACATCATGTTCCTTCCTTTTTCCACTTCCCTTCTTTTTCAACTTTTATGTGCTATCTTCCCCCATTGATTGGATTGTGAGCTCTTTGAAGGCACAGACCGGCATACACATTTCTTTGCACCCCCCAGAGTTCAGCAAAGTGCCTTAAACACAATCTGCTCTTAATTAGTGCTTAGTGACTATTAAATATTGAGGTACTAAGAGTCTCAGTGAGCTCTGAGGTAGGCACTGCCTCAGGAGGTGTGAGCTTTGGGACTGAGTATGTGACAAATGCAGGATGGTAGTCCCATCTTCAGAAGCAGTTGGATCTGGCACTAGCATTGGGTTTTGTGTAAGCAAGGCAATGGAATGGCAGCTGGAGTGGGAGATTTGATACAAGGGAGCTGAGTGTGGACACTCAGCAGCCTGTGGGGCTGCTACCTCAGCCCTTGGCTCTCCCACCGGCTCTGCTTTCAGGGGCCAGAATTGGAGAATGAAAGCTGGCTTCCCATTTGGAAGAACAGACTAGACTGAAGTATGGAATCCCCTTCTTTCTCCCTCCACTCTGCCTGAGGGGGGCAGTGGATACCTCCAAAGCTTGTTTTGTTTTGGAATTAACTTTTCCAGTTTCCTTACAAGTAATTTGAAATTATTTATTGCTTAGATAAATCTGATCACTCTATCTTCACGTTGAGTGATGTTGTCTAATTTGTAGACTTAGATAGTGGATGAACATATTATGAGACATTATATTACTGTATGTTATATTATATTATATTCTTTATTAATAGATTAATATGTGAAAATTAAGGAAATGTGATGGGAGCATAAAACTGATACCTCAAAAGTATAGCTTTAGTAGAATTATTAAACAGAACATTATTGCTAAGAAATTAGCCACAAACCATAGATTAAGTGTCATTGTATATGTGTTTACAGAAAGGTAGAGAAAACAATTAGGATATTATAAATTCTGTTTGTTCTAAGAAGGTAACAAGTTAATAAACCTGTTTGTTTAATGCTGTGCAACTGTTTGAGTCTCATCCTGGAGTCCCTCAAACTCTTATTTTATGCTTTTTCTTGCTTTACATAACAAATGCATCTTTGATGTGCTCCTCCATTTCCTTGAAGAAAAAACATTTTGTCCTGAATTGCAACTTTACATGTATATAGATCCTCATACAGACATTAGTGTTTAGGTTGTTTGGGGGTTTTTTTACATTTTTTTAAACATATAAAACTTACAAGTTGTGTGTGTTCCTTAAAGCTCTTACTGCATGTTGTCAAGTTGGCAGCCAGCTAGACCCTTGTCTCTCTCTCTGGACAGAGAAATAAATAGAATATATATACATATATAGCAAATAGATAGATAGATATGTGAAATTGATGAGCCTGTCTTGCTAAAAGTGTTGTCCCTCAGTTTGAGGAAGAAAACCTCTATAAAGCCTGACTTTGAAAACAGAGAGCAGAGGATGTAGACTTGTCAGCTATTTCAATAATTTAATTAAATTCCTAAATCCCCCATATTACGTAAGAAGGCATGTACTCCCCCCCCCATGCTTAACAAAATAACCCCTTTTTAAAATAAAGGGCATGTATGTTAGCATAATCGTAGTTACCCCCACGGGTTACATTCTATAAGGCATAAATTTTACATAGATAAGCTTAGCTGGGACTCAAGGCATCAGTTAAGTTCATGCCTTCATATGAATAAGCTTTAGATAATTAAGTTTAGGTGGGCCCAAAGTACCCCCTGAGGTTACCCTGTGTGTGTGCCCCTGGTAAAACTCTTTCCTCTACCTTTACCCTTCTAAAAATTGAATAAAACCCATGTTCTTTTTTCCTGTCAGCCAGCCTAGGCTATAGCACACCAGCTAACTTGGTCACTGACACTGTCACTAGTAAGACAGGAAGGCCCCCCAGACTCTGAAGGGAACATGATGCAGCCTTGCTGGCAGTGGGGGTGATCGGGTATCTTTGATGTACAGTTAGTGGCTTTCTATCCTCCAAAGCAAATCTTCACTCAAGAGCAGAAGCTGTGACCCAGCTTTGCCACAATCTTTCAGGACCTTCTCATGCTCCTGTAACTGCAAACAGCTCTGAGTGATCTTGCCTAAACCTGGCTCAGGCATTTGTACCTGCTGTTGCAATAAGCACCCTGTGTTGAGCATCAATCCTTACTGTATCTGTCACTTGCACATCAATTCAACAGAGAGAGGGAGAGAAAGAGAGATGTATGATAAAATAAATATTTTATTCTATGGATCTTAATAAACAACACAGAAGCTTCCTCCTCAAAAACAGCTTTGATGTCATGCTCTAGAACAGTGGTTCTCAAAATGTGGTCCAGGGATCCCTGTGGTTTCCCAAGTACATTTCAGAGTTTTCCCAAGACCCTTTCATTGGGTCCATGAGATCAAAACTGTTTTAAAAATAATATAAAGATGTTTTAATTTCTTATATGATATAGACAGATATAATCCACATACATGTAAGTTTGAGGTAGTCTGAGACCTGTTTGTTGCTCTAGACATGTATGTCCCAGGAAAGATGCCAAAGAGGACAAACTACCACACTAGAGTACCTCAAGCTCATAATATTTGAAGGTATTCCTTCGCATTAAATGACCTTGCAAATGTGAAAATTGCAGGTTCTTTTTACTATATATGCAATTCTCTATGTGTTGTGAGTGTTAGCTCCTTGAGAGAAAGAATTGTTTGATTTTTACCTCTTTGGCCATCCATCTTCTTGCTGTGTTGCTTTGATCCATTCTTTACCTCTCACTCACTTGTCACTCCAGTTCCTGCTTGGGAGTCCTGGGCTTCTCAGTGGTGAGAAAGCCCTTCACAGACCCATTTCAATTGAACCTACCTATCATCCTGCCATGAGGCACTCCTTTTTTTTTAAATATAAATTTATTTATTTTTAGTTTTCAATATTTACTTCCACAAGATTTTGAGTTCCACATCTTCACCCCATCTCACCCCACCCCCCACCCCAAGATGGCATGCATTCTGAATATTCCTTCCCCTAGTCTGTCCTCTCTTCTATCTCTCCACCCTTCTCTTATCCCATTCCCCTTCTATTTTCCTGTAAGGCAGGACAGACTTCTGCACCCCATTTCCTGTATTTCTTATTTCCCAGTAACATGTGAAAACTTTTTTTAAACATATGTTTTTAAAACTTCAGGTTTCAAATCTTCTCCCTTCCTCCCTCCCCACCCACCCTCACTGAAAAGACAAGCAACTCAATATAGGTTATACACGTGCAGTTATGCAAAACACTTCCATAGTAGACATGTTGTAAACAACTAACTCTATTTCCCCTAATCCTATCCTGCCCTCCCATTTATTCTATTCTTTATTTTGACCCTGTCCCTCCTCAGAAGTATTTGCTTCTGACTACACCCTTTCCCAATCTGCCCTCCTCTCTATCATCCCCTTGCTCTCTTCTCCCCTTCTCCCCCTATTTTCCCATAGAGTAAGATAGATTTCCTTACCCAATTGAATGTGTATGTTATTCCGTCCATTAGCCGAATCCTATGAGAATAAGATTCACTCATTCCCTCTCTCCTTCCCCCATTTCCCCTCCACTGTAAGAGCACTTTCTTTTCTGTTTTTTTTTTAGATAATTTACCCCATTCTACCTCTCCCTTTCTTCTTCTCCTAGTATAATCCTCTCTCATCCCTTAATTTTATTCTCCAGGTATGACCTCTTCATCTCAACTCACCCTGTGTCCTCTATCTATCTATCTATCTATCTATCTATCTATCTATCTATCTATCTATTTATGTATCTATCTATCTACCTTTACATACATATAATTTTTTTCCTCCAACTACCCTAACACTGACAAAGGTCTCATGAGTTATCAATATCATCTTTCCATGCAGGAATACAAACAGTTCAAATTTAAGAAGTCCCTTATGATTTCTCTTTCCTGTTTACCTCGTCATGTTCCATTTGAATCTTGTATTTGAAAGTCAAATTTTCTATTTAGCTTGGTCTTTTCATCTAGAATGCTTGAAAGTCCTCTGTCTCACTGAGTGTCTATTTTTCCCCCGAGGGATTATACTCAGTTTTGTAGGTAGGAGATTCTTGGTTTCAATCCTAGCTCCTTTGCCCTCTGGAATATTATATTCCATGCCCTGCAGTCCTTTAATGTAGAAGCTGCTAAATCTGGTGTTATCCTGATTGTGCTTCCACAGTACTTGAATTGTTTCTTTCTGGCAGCTTGTAATATTTTCTCCTTGACCTGGGAACTCTGGAATTTGGCTACAATATTCCTAGGAGTTTTCCTTTGGGGATCTCTTTCAGGAGGAGATTGGTGGATTCTTTCGATTTCTATTTTGCCCTCTGTTTCTAAAATTTCAGTGCAATTTTCCTTGATAATTTCTTGAAAGATGATGTCTAGGCTCTTTTTTTGATCTTGGCTTTCAGATAGTCCAATAATTTTTAAATTCTCTCTCCTGGATCTATTTTCCAGGTCAGTTGTTTTTCCAATGAGATATTTCACATTGTCTTCTATTTTTTCATTCTTTTGTATTTGTTTTACAGTGTCTTGATTTCTCATAGTCACTAGCTTCCAATTGCTCTATTCTAATTTTTAAGGAAGTATGTTCTTCAGTAAGCTTTTGGACTTCTTTTTCCATTTGGCCAATTTTTCTTTTTAGGGCATTCTCCTCATTGGCTTTTTGGACCTCTTTTGCCATTTGGGTTAGGCTATTTTTTTAAGGTGTTATTTTCTTCAGCATTTTTTTGGGTCTCCTTTAACAAGCTGTTGACTTGCTTTTTGTGATTTTCTTGCATCACTCTCATTTCTCTTCCCAGTTTTTCCTCTACTTCTCTTACTTGCTTCTCAAAATCCCTTTTGAGCCCTTCCAAGGCCTGGGACTGATTCATATTTTTCTTGGACGCTTTGGATGTAGGAGCTCTGACTTTGTTGTCTTCTTCTGATTGTATATTTTGATCTTCTTTGTCACCAAAGTAAGATAATACAGTCTGACTCTTTTTGCACTGCTTGCTCATGATCCCAGCCAATAATTTGAGTTTTAAACTCTTTGTTAAGGTAAAATCTGCTTCTGTTGTGTAGAATGTACTGCCCCAGGCTTCGGGGGTTTTTATAGCTGTTTTGAGAGATACTTGTAGGGACCTGTAAATTTTCAGTTCTTCCAAGGTGATATGATAAAGGGCAAGGTGTTTACTCCTTTCCAAGCCTGTGCTGTGGTCTATTAGTGACCACAAGCACTTGTTTCTTTCCTGGAACTGTGAGGAAGGTTTCCTGTCCACAGACACTACAAGCTCCACGTGCCAGCGCTCCTCTTCACCCCAGGACTCCTGTCCAGAACTGTGACCCAGATCCAAGCACGGGCAAAACAAGAGATTCCTGCCTCAGTACTGGTAAGGAGATCCCTGCAATCCCCCTCTGATCAGCCACTCAACTCCCCCTCAGTCTGTGGGCTAAAAGCTCAGGCAGCAGCTGCCCCCCCTCCAGGGCTGTTTTAGGGGAACTGAAGCTGAGATCCCACCTTTCTTTCTCAGCACCACAGAAACAGACTTTTCCCACTGACCTTCTAAGTTGTCTTCAGCATTAGTGGATTGAGGAGTCTGGAAACCACTACAGCTGCTCTCAGTTCAGTCTTCTGAGGCCTGCTCCAGATTCCCTGTGTCCTACGCGCCTAAGGCACACTGCGCTCATCTCACAGCCCTGCGCTATATACCTTTCTGATCAATCATCCAGGTTGTCTTGGGCTGGAAATTTGTTTCACTCTGTCTTTTTTGGGGTTCTGCTGCCTTAGAATTTGTTTAGAGCCATTTTTTATAGGTATTTGGAGGGGTTTGGGAAAGAACTCGAGTAAGTCGCTGCTTTCACTCTGCCATCTTGACTCCACCCCTCATGAGGCACTCTTTCACTCTATTATTCACGTCTGCCTCTGAGAATAGTAATCAGAAACATCATTATTTCAGGGAAGAATTGAAAATCAATTTCTCTCTCACTGCATCCACTGTCCCTGCCATTTCCTAGGCCAAACAGGCCTTCCCTGCCAGTCTTCCCTTTTATATGTTGTTGTCACCTTTCAAATATAAATTTCTTCAGGGCAAGGACTGTATTATTTGTGGGCCCAACACTTAGTACATTGCCTGGAACAATACTATGCTTTTTCACTCATTCAGTCATCCAGTCATTTTATCCTCAGCACAGTATCTTACACAGTATAAGTAATTAATGTACATTGAAATGAATTAAAATATGAACTTTTGAAAAGTGTTAGGGTGGGATTTGATCACCAGGGGCTCAAGGCTGTTCACTGAGTGGTGTTAGCATTGAGTGACCAAGCTTAGGAAGGTTTGGATTTGGTAGGGAAGGACTGTGAATTTGGCAGGAGCTTCGCAGAGGAGAGATCTTGGTCTTCTGATTTCCAGCTTGAAGAAAGAAAATATATGATTCCATATTCTCTTCAGGAAGGGATCTATGAAGGTAGACAAAGACTCTGGGAAGGTGACATAGAGAAGACCTGACATCTCAATCATGCCATCTCAAGCTTACCACACTAGAGATTTCAGAGAAATTCTTCTTGGCAAGATATGAGATTCTCTCTCTTGGTTGAACTGAGATAGCTTACTCTCATTGGGAGAGCTCATTCATTTTGTATATTGGCTGATATAGTCTCATCCATATAACCCCTCTGACTTCTGTTTGCTATCAGCTTGGATAAATGAATTTGTTTGGAATGTCATCTTTGAGTAACTAGCCTTCAATGGAAAGGGAGTCAAGATTATAAATGAACGTACATAGGGGTATGTGTGTATCTATATACACACACATATATAATATGTATATACATATATACACATACATACATCTGTATGTATACGTGTGTTTGTGTAACTCTGGCATTTCTTCCCCATTAAGGAATAGTTATCAAGAATACACCTTGAACATAAAAATTATTTCTCTTAGATTAACATTATTTAGGGGAGCCAAGAGACATATTTCTCTCCCAGTATACCTTCTCTGAGAAGAAGAAATCAACCAGCTTCATGACCCCAATCTCCTTCTTCCTTCCTGGAAGGCATCAGTCTTCTTTGGAGAAGAGAGGGAAGAGACTCTAAGCAGATCTATTTTAGCCACATCTAGACACATATGTGTGGACACATATAACCTACATGGGCAACACACACATGCATATACACACTCTACGTGCAAGACCCCATCTATAGGAATATAGCAATAATTCTTGGTCATTAATTTTTTTAAAAGGAAAAAAATTGAGGGTTTTTTTGATATTTTTAGTGCTTTACTTTCAAGGTTCTATAGTATTTTGCCTCGAGAGTGGCTCCTGAAGTTTTCAACCTAAATAACCTCTGGCTAGACAGATTATTAGTATTGAGTGGCCTCAAAGTCCAAAGTCCCAAAGTCCTAATTTTAGGAGGCATAATGCTTTGTGCTCATATACACTCTTCTTAAGGAGTTCAAATTAGAATTTTGCTTTCTAAAAACTTTATTGTTTAGAGTTTACATTTTTTATTTTCTCCATATTTTTGAAAATAACTTGGAAGGACTTTTCCCAGACTGATGTTTTTTCTTCTTTATGATGATGAATCCTGATGCCATCCCCTTTGCTTCCATACCTTTCCTAGCCATTTGCAGTAGAATATGAGTATTGTGTGAGATGAGAACTCTAAGTGGCTGAAAACTTCCTTTGACTTAGAAAGGAAGTTTCAGACACTTCTGCTATGGTCAGTTTTGTCTCAGAAGGCAATGTACACTTTTCATTCTATAAAACACACTTGGTTTCTGTTTTTTTTCTTTTTCTTTCCTTAGGAATCATGCTTTTATTAGAGGCATAGATAATTTGTTTCTTCCTGGTTAAGTCCCAGGGGGAAAAAAGATATATTAATGTAATTTTTATGCTTCTTTTGTTGTTTCCTTTTTTTGGAGGTATAATAAGTTTATCTAACCTATCCTGGTTTCAACCTAACCACATATTAGCATGAGAATACTGGTATGCAGTTGCTGAATTTGCTAATATGTTATGTCTTAGAAGCCTGAATACTACTGTATATACATATATATTGCCATCTAGCTATATCATATATGTATTACATATATATATTATATATATATATATAATTGCTCTATGTTGATACATGAAAAAAATTATTGAGACTGTTTCCATGACTTGAATTCATGTTTTTGTGCTATTTTATTGCTAACACAATTATTATTAAAATAAACTACTGTTGCTGTGACACTTTACATTTATTAATTGCATTAATACTTGGTTATTAATATGGATACTCAAGGAGTAATCTCTAGAAACAATAAGAACTAGTGCAGTTGAGTGATGTCTTGCTTTTGCAGTTAAAAAGCAGATAAGTCTGCTAATATTACTGGTAGATGTCTTTATGAATGATAATGTTTTAAAAATACAGAGAATAAAAGTATAATGACAGGAAGAACATAAAATTAAGTTGACTATTGTTAGGGCATACAAGAAAACTCAGAAAGTATTAGTAGTCCTACCTGGGAATCTGAACCGTGGAGATATGCCTGATAAAATGACAATGGGAAGTTATTCTTGAGATTTTCATACTCAACCACCTAACAAAAAGGAAGAATTACTCAAAGAAACAAAAACTCTAGAGGATATGATTTAACTTATCACACCCTTTTGGAACCACTGGAAGAAAGCTACAGTGGTACATGCCTGCTCACCTGGACATTGGCTTTGTGGGAAACACTGTGATCACCTACTAAGGACAGCAGCTTGTTAAGAAACCTAGGGATTTGGAGGCCAACTCATTCCTTCTCATGCACAGGCAAAGAAAGCAGTTTTTTTCTTCAACCCTGTGTCTTACAAAGGAAAACTCACAACTTTTGGAAAAGAATACTGCCTCAGTTTTACATTCCCTGGCATGAATGTGACTTTAGTCCACAGATTTTGAAGGACAAACAAAGAAGCAGCAAGATTTAGTGAAAGACACCCTCAGAGGAGGCATTCCTACAGTCACTAAAAGTCACAGCTAAATCTGGTAACTCTGCTCCGTCTATGAGTACTACTGAGGCCATACAACTGTGACAGACAGACATCATAGCCCTAAATTTGAATTTTCTTTGGACATGAACTATATCCCTCAGTAGGACAACACTAGGAGATTTGTATTGGAAAGATAACATTAGGTCTAAGAAACTGGAAGGCCCCTGAGAAATAAATGATGACATTGACAGAGAGTGCAGCTAAAAATATCATTGATCCATAGCCAATGTCATCTGCCATAAATACATGCAAACTTTAGCTGACATATATGACAGCCACAGGACAGAAGACTGTTTAATTCAGTTTCTAATACTATGCAGGTTAAGAGAGGAAAATCTTGAATTTTCCCCTGGGGAGGAGTAATATGTTCAGAGACTAATACAGATAAGCGTTGTGAATCCTGAAACGCAAGTAAAATCACACTGCAGAGATTGAGTCAGGGCTTCATGCATGATTCTGGTGCATCTGATGTCATCCTCTGCCAACACAGAGCCATTGTCAGTTATAGCTGAAGTGAGACAGGTAATCCTGAACTTCAGAGGACATTGTAAGAAGAAGGGCTGAGCCTCCAATAGCTCTGGGCCTTCTCTACTGTGGGTTAAAGAAGCAAAGAAAGTCAAGAGCACAACCATTGGTGAGTTACAGGAACAGGACTAGGAACAATCAGGTGAGAGAACGGAGTAGTGTGCAATCCTCCTTTCCTTGGAGAGGTAGACAACCAAGGGGAATGGAAAGCAGGAAAGCCTATCATAAGACCCCCTGCATTAGGCAATCATCAGAGCAACACACTTACCATCTGTTCAGACTAGGCCTTGGCTAGCTATGCTTGAAGAGAATGCAGCATTGGGCCTATCAAAGCTATGCGGCATCCTCTTCTCAGTTTCACAAAACCAGGATGGGAAAGAGATCTTCCTGGTCCTCCAAAACAGACACACTGATCTCACCATCAATTCCCTGTAGGGGATGGCCAGAGAAAATGCCTGGAGGTCAGAGATGGAGTATATCTTGTTTGTGGAACAGCAAGGAGGCTGCATCACTACATCAAAGACTAAGTTAGGGAACAGTGGGGTGGGGGGGGGTTGGAAGGGTCAAGAAGAATGGATAATAAAGTTTAAGCAGGCTAAAACATGGGGAGAAGGCTACGTTACGAAGGGCTTTTAATGTCAATGTTACAAATACCTTGAGGGCAGAAACCATATCTGCTTTCTGTTTCTCAAGTGCTTAATATAGTACTAGTACTGTTTTCTGAGGAATTTATGTCTGTTGATCTATTATCAGAAGCAGACCACATTAACCCATTCCTTACACACAGTACTCCATTTCTCCTCTCCACCCTTTGTCCAGGCTGTGCCCCATGTCTAGAACAACTCCCCTCCTTCTTTTCCAACTCTTAGAATCCCTAGTTTCCTTCAGTGCTCAGGCCAACCACTGCCATTTATAGGAGAGTTTCCCTAATTCCACCAGGTGCTAATACCTTTCCTCAAATAATTACCTTGTATCCAACATGGCATAACTGACAGAGAGCCAGCCTTGAAGCCAGAAAGATCAGGGCTCAAGTCCAACCTCCGAGTGACACATTCTGTGATCCTAGCTGTACCTTAACCTTCCAGCAGCCCCCAAGCAACTCTTTAAAATTATAAGCTAGAGACAGAGCCAACCTACAATGGTAGAGGGAGTTTCTTTACCTGGGAGTTCTATATATACCAATAAAATCACAGTTCCAATTCATATCCCTCTATCTTGTATACGCCTATCTATGTAAATATTCTCTTCCCTAATAAAATGCAAGCTGTTTAAAATCAAAAGAATATTCACTTTTTCCTTTGTATCTTCACTGTTTAGAACTGGGACCAGTACATAGGTGGTACTGATTAATGCTTATTAACTGATCAGTTGATTGGGTGCAAATCATTACTACTATATATTCCTGCAGATGTTATGAGTTTCATGTGAATGAGTAGAACTATATTTATCTACCCCTGTATTTTATATGTACCTATGTACATGCATGTATGTACATAATACATTTGTTTGTGGGTACAAACATGCATTTTTATGCAATTCATCATGCACTGCCATTTCTGCTCACCAAAAGTGGCCCATACCTGTCTCTGCATCAAGATACATGCTTCTTACCTATTTAGTGTTTGGAAATAGATTGAGATTATTTCACGCCCAAGACCTCTAATGATTCATTTACTGGGTAAACCTTGGAAGATTTAGGGGCAGGGAGGAGTGGGGTTCTGAAGGGAGCACATTTATACAGTGCATGAAGATTCAGTTTGAAAATCAAAAGACCTATGTTGGCCATCACTTAAAATGCTATTACTCTAGGCAGCTCTCGAAGGCTAGGTATTGTAGATAAATTGCTGATCTGAAAGGTAGGAGGGAATCATCACCCCAGTTGCTCATGTGTATCACACACACACACACACACACACACACACACACACACACACACATCCCAAATAATAAAATCACAAGTTTGAAGGAAAATACATATATATGTCTGCATATATGCATAAGACAATTATGGGATAGATTTATATAGTGTAAATGCATATGCGCACACATATATGTATACATACATGAGGCAGCATGATACAATGTTAAATCTCCCCATAACAATGACCTTGAAATCACAGGACCTAAGTTTTTGGAAACTAGGTGGTATATTGGATAGAATATTAGACTTCGAGTCAGGAAGCTCTGAGTTCTAAATCTGCCTTAGATACTTACAAGTTGTATGACCCTGGCCAACTCATCTAACCTCTCTCTGTCTCAATTTCTTCACCCAAAATACCTGAGATAGAGATAATAATAGTTCCCACTTCAAATGATTGTTTTAAAGATGAGGTTGTATAATATATGCCAAGTACTTTGCAAATGTTAAAGTCATCTACAATTGTAAGTCCTTGTTTTTGTTCATAAAGCTCATCTCTTCCACCTACTACCTGTGTGACACAAGCAAGTCACCTTTCTGGGTTTCAGTTTATTTATCTATTAAATAATGGGGTTGGACTAAATCAAATCTGAAGTCCATATATGCTTCTAATGTCATGAAACTAAGTAGCTCTAATACCATGTAAGTCATGGTATATATACATATTGATGCAGTGTTATACTGGTAAATGATTAAACACCAAATCCCTAAGGGGGAAAATGAGTGCATGATACACTTTAAACTTCAATCTGTATCTTTCACATTTTCTCCATCATTTTCTTAAGTCTATACAATGAACAAAACAATAAGCCAAGCCCTGATTTTTAGTATTTGCTAATTTGTGAGGTGTAAATGCACACGCTGAAAATTTAATCATCAGCTCAGTGTCATTTTGAGTTGGCTCAAGCTCACATCTGCACATATATATAATATATAAACATATATTATATAATATGTAAACATATATATGCATATACACACTAACATAAAATGAATGTTTACATATGCATATGTATGTAGGTATATAGATATAAATAAGTGAGAGAAAGAGACAAATCAGGAGAACCACTCCTAGACTTTGGCCAATCTCTCTTCTTGGGCAGTCCATAGTCTTCTTTGAACCTTCTTCAAACTTTATCCCTGGTCTACATGGGGTTCACATGTTAGAAATGCAAAACCATGAATTATTAAGTATTTTTTAAAAGAACAGGAGTGAGTTGTACATTAATCTGAATCCCTGGGAAGAAGAGAAAATCTGTCAATAACTACTGAACAGGAAAGAGTTTGAGGAGAATTTCATTTATTTAGCTTATTCACTGATTCCTTCAACAAGCATTTGTTGACTGTTTAGTTTATAATAGATCCTAAGAAAGCTTCAAAGGGGCCTATATGGTTTCTGACCTCAAGATACTAATGAAGGAAATACTTCCACGAATTATGCTGAGAAGCCTAGCTTCTATCAAAATAAACAGATTGGCTTCCCAGGAAAAAGGTGATTCCAAGAAACAAATTTGGAATAGTTTCCCATTGGACTCATTTCGTTATTTCTGGGAAATTCTGAAACTCAGGAGAAGCTTCAATTTCCAACCACCTTTCTAATGGCATTCTTCACATCCTTATTCCTCAGACTATAAATCAGAGGGTTTAACATGGGGATCACTGTGGTATAAAATACTGAGGATACCTTCTCTTGCTCCATAGAGTTGCTAGAAGGGGGCTTGAAATACATGAAAGTGATAGACCCAAAAAAGATTCCCACAGCTATGAGGTGGGAGCTGCAGGTACCAAAGGCTTTGGACCTGCCCTCAGTAGAGTGGGTACGTAAGATGCTGGACAAGATAAAAGTGTAAGAAACAAGGACAGCCAAAGTGGGGGCTAAGGTGTTTACTCCCCCAATAATAAAAAGAAGAACTTCATTAACATGGGTGCTTTAGCAGGAGAGGCTTAACAGGGGAAGAATATCACAGAAGTAATGTCTCACAACATGACATCCACAGAAGGAGAGCATTGTCATGCGGCTAGTATGTACTGTGGCACCAAAAAATCCCAAGGAATATACCACCAACATCATCACAGAGCACTTTCTTTGAGACATGAGAACATTATAAAGCAAAGGACTGCAAATGGCAACATAACGATCATAAGCCATTGCTGTCAGAAGGTAACCCTCAGCAATGACAAAAATTAGGAAAAAATAGAGTTGGGTCATGCACTCCAGAAAGGAGATGACATTCTTCTCTGCCACAAAGTTCACTAACATTTTAGGTGTAATGACAGAGGAGTAGCAGAGATCAATGAAGGATAAATGACTGAGGAAATAGTACATGGGGGAGTGAAGTTGAGAACTCATAGCAATCAATAAGATCATGCCCAGATTCCCCAACACAGTAACCACATAGATTCCCAGGAAAAAGAGAAAAAGAGGAAGCTGGAGCTCTGGCTGATCTGTGAGGCCTGCGAGGATAAACTCCATCACTGTAGAATGGTTTCCTGTGGCCATTTTCCTATAGATGAAAACTGTGGAAATTAAACAGAAGAGTTACGTTCTAGGCAATTCTCCCTGCTTACAACAGAATGTCATATTTAGGCCCATGCTGGAGTTGCTTTTGAAAGTTGTGAGTGCATCATTAGTAGAAGTCTTAGGACATGGGCTAAATAAATACCTGCTAGAAATTATTCAGATTGGATTCCTCTATGAGTTCAGAGGTTAGAATAGATGACCTCTAAGGACGCATCCAACTCTAAGGTTCTATAATTCCAATCCACACAGGCTACTCCTGTATACTCGGAATTTTCCTCTATGAAAGAGCAATCAGAGTGATGGCCGAAGTTCTATAGTATACAAATTAAAGCAGCCAAACAATGGGAAGGTACAGCTCTAAAGCAGACAAACACTCATTTGAGTGTATGATTGGTCGTTAGCATCAAAGGTCGTAAATCCCATTGCTTTATAGTCATGACTCCTTCCTACACACTTTGAGTCCGACCTACTCAGGATGGAGAGAAGCAATTCAATCATGGTAACAAGGACAACTAACTCAGATACTTATAAGAGGGTCTAATGGACTTTGACTAGGCCAGACAAGGCTTCAAGGGAGAAAAAAAAATCTAGGTCCCACAGACAGAAAAATAGTTAAGTCATCATATTTAACATCAGGGTCATCATGCAGAGAGTACAACAGTTTCTCGTGCTTGTAAGACTAGCTGTCAAAATATTTTAAAAGACCTAGAGTATTGCTGCTTCTACTGCATAATTATACTTTAAGCTGGGATTAGGCAATGGGTAAAACATCAGAGAGAAAAAAATAGTTCAACTTTAAAGAAAAAAAATTCTAAAGTTTGGAAAATACTAAAAGAGAAATGGGCTGCCTCCCAGGTTTTACTTATTGATTTGCCCTGTCAGGATCCCCGTGCCAAGACTACCCCTCTGTTTACTGTTAGGAGTCACCCTGTTTTCCAGAGCTAAGGCCCAGCAAGCAAGCTGTGTCCTGAGCTTGGCATGACAACAATCTTTCGTGCTCACCCTCTGGATGAAGTCAGCCACAGCAAAATCCCAGAATTGTTTTACACCAGCACCAGGTGGTCCCTGGGCTTGAACAAACACCTGTAGTACCCACACTCTGGTCATACAGCCCCACTATGAATCCAACTTGTCTCATTGTTGCTGTTATCACTCATTGTCAGATCAGACACTAGTATATGTATTGAGATTTACCCACACTAAGGTGTCTCTTCCTTGAGGAGGCCCAGGCACACATGTCTAGGTTCCTTTCTCCAGTGGAATAAAGAAAGATTTTTTGCTTATGACCTCTGTTATCTCTTTTGTTTTGTTTTATTTTTTTTTATTTTTCAGAGTTAACTGAGGTTGTGAGCTCTTTGATATTTTTAGAGTTAATAGTGGTGGCAAAACCACTGTGAACCATTGGTCATTTGTTTTCAGGCTTAACAGCTCCCTCTAAGTTTTTAAATAAATATTGACTGACCACTGGTCAGGGGTTTGACAGAGGGTATTCCTTCACAATGACTAAAGTAGATGGCCACTGTTATCCCCTCCACCTCTGAGGGGCTGGTTATAGACTTAGCTTCTTTTCAATAATGATATCTTTTTCAGGATAATATCTTCTCTGAGCTTTGTTTTCCTCATCTGTAATATAAAGATTTTGAACAAGAGGCCCTAGAAGTCCCTTTGCTGCTTTAGTATGTTGTGCTTTCTAGGGCTTCATTTCTTGAAAACCCTTGATTTTCCAATAAAAAAACAAAGAGGAAAGGGACATTGAGTTTTTCTTAGTTACAGTAACCACCCACTTTAGTGACTAAGGAAATAGAGATGAAACTTTCTGTAATTAGCAATGAAATGTATACATAAGATTCACTGACAAAATACCCTTATTTTTCTGATTCAAAAATGAAAAGGGGAAGCTTCGATCAGAGAGACAGTTGAACCCACTGGGAAATATAGATGCTCTTTTGGGCTTAGACAAAGTTGGCATTCATGTTGATCTCAAGTCCATCGATGGAGAACAGGTATAGTGGGAAAACCACTAAAGACAGAGAGCCTGGGTATGAACATTATTTACTTCCTCTGTAACCTTAAGCAAATCGCTCTACCTCTCAATTTCAGTTTCTTCATCTGTAAAATAAGATGGTTGAATTAAATGATCTCTAAAATCCCTTCTACCTCTAAATCTTATTATCCTGTGAACACTATTCCTTTATCATGGAATCTGAAACCAAGGTATAGGCAATAGGCAATGTGGGAATTTTGATCTGCGGGAGGTAAGACAAAAGTTATAAGCTCTACCAATTCCTTCCCATCATTTTTTTAGTTTTGCTCTTGAGCTGATTTCTGTAGGAACCTGTGACATTGAGAACTGAAAGCAAACTCCTTCCTCCAACTTCTTGGTAGTTTTCCTATCCTGAGTCCTAGGATTATTTAAAAAGGAACCCAGGCTTGTGACTCAGGCATATGATTGGAGTTAAAAAGATTTTCAAACCATAAATCAGGTAACAATTTAGATGAAAGGATCCCTAAGGGACAGTAGCAGAAAAAGAATTCAAAAGACACATTTTAGACCTGAATACTTGCTGACTTTTGTGGTTAGTTGGCTGGGGTGCCTGTAAGTAACTCTAGAACTACGGCTAAAGTTAGAAATGTGCTCTCTGCCTAGAGGAGAGAAGTTGCCTATCTGCTGAAGTCCATCAGATGGCAGCAGAGAGCAGACACAGAGATACTCGGAGGAAAGCAGCTTAGTACAAATAACCAAAAAAGGGTTGTAAATAGGAGCCCAGCACAGATGTCCAGCAGAGAGCACTGCAGCAAACAGAACATAGCAGCAAAGGAATCCAACTCAATGGAGAAAGCAGCTTTCCTGATGAAGTCAACAGAAGATAGCCGCTACTCTGAAACTGGTAGAGATGTGAATCAATCTAGAAACCCATGTGTCCTGACCACACACATTCCCTAAGCATCTGCCCCACTTGAAGTGACACCTTCTCACAGGTATTCCTATCAGAGTTGTCCTCCTCCTTTGTTGATGTGGTCATTTTTTAGGAGACTGTGATTCTGTGTGCATTGAATATCTATGATGTCACTTATTTTGCAATATTGTTTCATTAAATGTTCTGCTTTGAAGCAATGCATCTTTTAGTTGGTCTACTTTGAAAAAAAAAAAGCAATAGTGAGATCTCATTAACTATGTGTGTGAATGAATGTTGACCAAAAAAAGTGGTTCAAACTAAGGGTTACTTTATCAGGGTCCACATGGGAGAATAGAACTTAGGGTTTACATTAAAAGAAAGAATATTCCCTTGTTTATTGGCAAAACCACTGCAAATGACATCAAATCCTTTCATAACCGAATACAAAATAATATTTTTAATTTCATCCTTTTCAAATGTTCTCCCTTCCAATTATAATTGCATTTATTTGCACAGTTCAGTTCCTAATAGGATTATTTCTATTTGTCTCAGACACAATGACAGCTTCCCCCTAACTAGTAGATTTTCTATTCTTATTTGATAAGAAAAAAATGAAATTATGTGCCTTGCCAAAATTATGTGGGAGGAAAAATTAAGGAAGAAGTATAGGATAGTAACCAACCTTGAGACCTGAAGCCACTTCCACAAATAAGGAAGCCTCGAACAAAAGGTTTTTTTACAGAATTCTTGTGAGGAACAAGTGAGTTTATGTTTGAAAGTGTTTTGTTAACCTTAAAACACTTACATAAATCAGTTATTTTTTTATTGTTGAAAAGAATGTCCCATTCCCTTGTCTGACATGAAACATTGACAGTAACTCTTTATGAATCAGGACTGACCCTACCTTACTTGCCTTTGTTGGACTCATTATCAACTGGGAATGAGACCTGGGGAGCCATCATCATGGCTTCCTTCTCACTAGAGCCAGTCATTTTTCAAAGAGAAGCATAGTATCAAATTTTATTTTATTCAGAGAATGAAAGCAGAGAAAATTTTAAACAGGGACTAGGGTTACATAGGTCCTAGTTACTTCTTGAAAGGTAGAAGGGAATATTAGAGGTAGAATTTTATCAATTCATAATCTATAATTTATGACATCAATTTGAATTATAATCTCAGTACCAAAATTCTTAATATTAATGGAATTTGCAGGAATTAGATTGGGGTCCTCCCCTCTTGACTCCATTCTTTTTCTCTTTAGTAGCTCAGGGGCTCCAGGACAAGAGTGTATTGAGAAACAGAGCTGTAAGAGAAGGTGAGTACTGAGGTCTTAGTACTTGAGGCCTCAAAAAATATAATCTACCCCTGACAGGTGTTCTTTGTCCACAAAGAACTTGCTCAGAAGGTAGATCAGAGCTCCAAGAATAGCAGCTTTATAAGGTTAATACAAATCAGAGAATCACTGACACAGAAATCTTCTATACAGGATTCCCAACAATTGGTCATCTGGCCTCCTCTTGAAGAGCTCTCCAGGTAGGGGGAATGCAAGTGTCATTGTTTATTATCATCATAAAAACACAGGCCAAAATATTCCCACCCACAAAAATCTCAGCAACCCATAAATTCTCAGTGATTTCTAATAGCTTTGTGGGAATTGAGTGAATCACATAGACTCCATCTTGTAACTCAATTCTAGCTCCAGCTTAGTTTCCTTTTCATTCAACTATGGATCTAGTCCAATTTCTGTCTTGTGGTAAAATTTTATTCAATTATGGAAATTGTGAGAAAGCCTTATTGCATTACGTGAAAATATGGCTTCCCCTGTAGTCAAGGTCTAGTGCCAAAGCTGAAGAGGTCTGATCCAGACTTGTTATATAACTAGGACCTATGTAACCCTGCATGACTGGGAAGAAGGACCACCTCTTCCTGTTGCTTAAAGACCTTTAACTAAAGACCTAGGTTATGCTGACTAGAAACCCAATCACATAGAAAGACTGATGCAAGAAGTTTACTTATAATTATATACTTCAAGCAACCCATATGTCTTATCTGAAAACTAGTCCTATACTGGTCAATCAGCTA